CTTCTTTTTTTCTCTTCTTTTTCTTTTTCCTCTTTTGGAGAAAACTAGGGGGGGGGAGGAGGAGGAGAAAGAAAAAAGGGAAACATGAGGATGATGAGAAACAGAATAGGGTGGGGAGGAAAAAAGAGTAATGAAAGTGAGAAGGGAAGAAGGAAAAGGGAAAGATAGAGGGAAAGGAGGGTAACAAAGATCTACAAAGTAAGAGAAACACCCATTTATCTGCAAATAAACATATTGTAGATATACTTTTACAATTATTAGCTCTATGATTATGTTGAACTCTATGTATTCTTTTGTTTGTTTTTTTGGTTGATTATTTGATATGCTCTAAAATATGTACGCTGTTGTTATAAAACTATACTGGAAACAAAAAATTTAGATAAGATTTAGAAAAGTTTAGGTTTACTTTATATTGTAGCCAGACTTTAATGTATAAAAATAACTACTATTTATGTGTTGCTGTTACAATAATAAATGATTGGAAAATTAAAGGGACATTATAGTCACCTGAACAACTTTAGCTTAATGAAGCAGTTTTGGTGTATAGAACATGCCCCTGCAGCCTCACTGCTCAATCCTCTACCATGTAGGAGTTAAATCCCTTTGTTTATGAACCCTAGTCACACCTCCCTGCATGTGACTTGCACAGCCTTCCAAAAACACTTCCTGTAAATAGAGCCCTATTTAGGCTTTCTTTATTGCAAGTTCTGTTTAATTAAGATTATCTTATCCCCTGCTATGTTAATAGCTTGCTAGACCCTGCAAGAGCCTCCTGTATGTGATTAAAGTTCAATTTAGAGATTGGGATACAATTATTTTAGGTAAATTACAACTGTTTGAAAGTGAAACCATTTTTTTTCATGCAGGCTCTGTCAATCATAGCCAGTGGAGGTGTGGCTAGGGCTGCATAAACAGAAACAAAGTGATTTAACTCCTAAATGAAAGTGAATTATGCAGTGAAATTGCAGGGGAATGATCTATACACTAAAACTGCTTTATTTAGCTAAAGTAATTTAGGTGACTATAGTGTTCCTTTAAGAAATGTATAAAGAGGTAAATAAGAGAGAGATAAATGGAGAAAAAGAAAGAAAAAGGAATGAAATGTGACTATACCTTTGGTGAAAATGTAAAACATGTTTGATATTGTAATGGATTATTACTATAAAGTCAATTCATAAAACAATAAAATATTTATTACAAAAAAAATAAATAATAATAGATCAAACCCACTGTGGTTTATGCCTACGTACATGTACATGAAGGAAGTTGCAAAGAGATACATAAAATATATTCTTTCATCAACTGAATAAGATGTGTAAATGCTGATTTTAAAGGCAAAACTGAATTTTCGGCTGTATTAAAGGTTCAATTGCAGTAATGCACTGAGTTCTTTTAATTGCCTACAGATTCCACCGTTGCCATTTGTTGTATTGCTCACAATGTCTCTTATCTGCAGTCAGTGACAGATGGAAGCAAAGAGTGCATCATCAATATTGGCAAGAATGTTCTTGTACAATACAAGAATTGACGTGTTAGACATATGGTAAATTTGTGTACAATCCACCAGTCATCTGACAGTTTATGATTTAAGAATGACAATGATTTGCTGAATTAGACACCCACCTTAATAATTTTTTAAAAAGTGTGAATTGCAAATTTGCAGGGAATGTTTAGAAATTCAAATAGAATTTAAACTTTTAGGCCAAAATAGCCAAAATTAAAACATAAATTACTTTTCCCAAATTTACCAATTCCGCTATTGTGTGCATTGCATTAAATAGTGTTTTTTTTAAAAAGGTAAAAATTCCCCATCACCCTCCCTTCACTGGCTCAGTATGTGCGCATGCGCTATGAGTTGGCAAAATGGTCTAATCACAGGCTTCTCTATGAGAAGTTTTTTAGTGGAACATGTGAGGGCAGGGATGCTATCAGACGGGGCATGCAGATGATTGCTGGGGAATTTGCCCAGTACTGGATTCCAGGTAAGTAAAAAAAATCTTACTTTTCGTTTACAGATATTACGGGGGGAGGTGGAGGTGTTAGTCATGCCCAATAGGACATTGTATATAGCAAAATAACAATTTTTAAAAAGGGTTGGACTAACCTGTAAGATAATGCAATTCTGTCATTTAACCAAAATATTTTTGGTCCTCTACAGTTTTGCCATGTTTTACCTGATTAGTAGCCTAGTTCATTCTGTAGATGTTTACCCTGATTTCAGACTTTATTAGATTACAGAAACAACATAGTATTAATGGTGGATAAAAGCAGACTGTCAAGCACCAACATCTGTCTGTCAGAAGATGATTAAAAAATACTACAGGTTACAGAACTTGCTTGAAATCCATGATTACTTACCGTTCTTTTCCCACCACCAGAGTTTCAGAGCTATATGTGCGGTGCCTGGCTAAAGCAAATGGTGTTTGGATAACTTCATAAAGAGCAGGTTCTCCAATTCGTATCCCCCAACATACCCAATATACTGAAATCTATGTGCACTCATTTCAAATTAACATGAGTTCCAATGAAATATGAGGACTTGTATCGTGGGAAGAATTGGTAGAATTTTGGAATATCTAGTTTAGCTAGTCCCCATCTGAGTTTCTCCAATTTCCACCATTTTTAAAAAACGTTTTTGATTGAGTAAAGGAGCTTCATTTTTACTATATATCCCTTTGAAGTTTGCTTAAAGGTTTCCCCCAATATGAGGTCAAATATGCTACTGACTTCACTGCTTCCAGAGGCAGAGATCTCACATTTACTCTGACGGGACTAAAGAATTACTTCAAGGTATGATTGCACTTCAACTAGAGCAACTATTGGGTTTGTGCCTCTCGATCTAACCCTTGTCTTGAATTAGGAGCCTCTTTCAATAGAAAAAAATATGGACTCAATGGTTTTAAAATGGATTAACATACAGATACAATTATTTCACAGCAGTTTTATCAAATTACTACCCTCATCAAAATGAATAAAGAATAATATGGAATTTTATATATAAAATTGTATTTTATTTATTTGAGGTATATCATTAGAATCAGGCAACCACAAATCTATTCAGTGAATTATATGTTACTTGTCTGTTATACAATTAAATAAATGTACTTTGGTGCACAAGAAACTGTGTCCTTTCGCTACAATATATTCTATTTGCAATTGATCATTCATTTATTTTCTGTTACACTATACCAAGTATTTATCTGCAGAGATGTAGAATTAATAGAACAATTATAAAGAAGGAATAGAAGAAAATGGAAAATAGGCCTTGTTCAACTTATCCCAAAATGCAAAAATTGTTTTATTAAAGGAACACTATCACTTTAGGAATACAAATATTATTATATTATTACTAGAGTTGGATGTTGGATGAACTGGATGTTCGGGTCCAGCAGGTTCGGCCGAAGTTCAAAAAAAAATCCAGGTTCGGGATCGAACTTGACCCTGAACTCGAAGCCCATTGAAGTCAATGGGGACCCGAACTTTTGGGCACGAAAATGGCTCTAAATAAGTCCTGGAAAGGGCAAGAGGGCTGAAAAAGGAAGTAAAATGGGGGTAAGAGTAGGACAAGTGCCCTGCAAACAAATGTGAATAGGGAATTCACTTAAAATAACAATAACATAAAATAAGCAGCCGCTTAGTAGATAACTCCCTAATTCCCACGGTATTAGGGAGCTATCTATTAAAAGGCTGAAAGACCTAAATTGGTCTTTCAGCCACATTTACTAATACTAAGTAAAGATTACTTAGTATTAGTACATACAGCCCCTACTCGCTATAGCCAGTGGCTGCTCACAGTAAAAAATAAAAAAAATAAATAAAAAAAACCTATTGGCTCCCCACCCCTGAACGGCGGGTGGGGACCCTAAAGTAAAATAAGGGGGGGGACCTATTGTCCTCCCCCTGGCCCCCACCCCTGCGCGGCGGGTGGGGGCCCAACATAACAATGGGGGCTAGGGGGGAGGACCTACTGTCCCCCCCACAGCCCCCACCCCTGAGCGGTGGGTGGGGGCCCTAAAAAAGAATGAGGGGGGACCTACTGTCCTCCCCCCGGCCCCCACCCCTGCACGGTGGGTGGGGGCCCTACATAACAATGAGGAGGGGACCTACTGTCCTCCCCCACCCGGCCCCTACCCCTGAGTGGCGGGTGGAGGCCCTTAATTTAGAATAAGGGGAGACCTATTGTCCTCCACTCAGCCCCCACCCCTGAGCGGTGGGTGGGGGCAGGGGCGTACCTAGAGCATTTGGCACCCGGGGCGGATCCTGTGCTTGGCACCCCCCCAAAAAAAACAAAAAAACCTGTAAAAAATGTTAAAGGATTTCTTTCTTTTTTTTACAATTTGTAAACTTTGCAAAACCGCTGTCAGCCCCTCCTACAATACCCTTGTCCTGCCCCGCCCCTCCTACAAAACCTCTGTCCTGCCCCTTCTACAAATCCTGTACTGCCCCGTCCAGGGCCGGATTAACATAGGGGCTGATGGAGCTGCAGCTCCAGGCCCAGGCCCATGGAATAGGCCCATTAAAAAAAAAAAAAAAAATTTTTTTTTTTTTTTTACACACATACTCTTAGGTTTGCCACCTGACTGGTATTTTAATGGCACAGACTGTATTTGAGGCTGCCTGGCCGTGCCGGTATTACAGTAATACCGGCAATACAAATGCAGGTAATTTTCTCAGAATAAATGGAAATTACTCTGCAATACCAGCACCGGCCAGTAGGGGTCACTGTGTGTGGAGAGAGGCAGGGATAGGAAGTTACAGAATATCCCTCCCTGCCTCTCTCTACTACTCACTGATCCGTGGGGGAGCAGCTACACAGCACAGAGTCCAGACAGCAGCTCTACAGCTCAGGTAAGTGAGGGATGGGGGGAAAGGCAGCAGGGACACATCGGACATTGAGACACTAGGGGACACATGGGGACACTGAGACACTAGGGGACATATGGGACACTGAGACACTAGGGGACACAGACACTAGGGGACACATGGGACACAGACACTAGGGGACACATGGGGACACAGACACTGGGGGACACATGGGGACACTGAGACACTAGGGGACAAATGGGGACACTGAGACACTAGGGGACAAATGGGGACACTGAGACACAGACACTGAGGGGACACATGGGGACACAGACACTGGGGACACTGAGACACAGACACTAGGGGACACATGGGGACACAGACACTAGGGGACACATGGGGACACTGAGACACTAGGGGACATATGGGACACTGAGACACTAGGGGACACAGACACTAGGGGACACATGACACTAGGGGACACATGGGGACACTGAGACACTAGGGGACAAATGGGGACACTGAGACACTAGGGGACACTGGGACACATGGGGATGCTGAGACACATGGAGACGCTGTGAGACATAGGGACATTGGGAGACACTGAGACATTGGCACACGGAGACACTATGTCCCCCAGCCAGTGTCCCTAGTGTCTCAGTGTCCCCAAGTCTCCCAGTGTCTGTGTCCCATGTCTCTCAGTGTGCCTAGTGTCCCCATGTGTCCCCATGTCTATGTCCACAACTGTCTCCCAACCAGTGTCCCTTAGTCTCCCAGTATCCCTTAGTCTCCCAGTGTCCCCTAGTCTCCCAGTGTCCCCTAGTCTCCCAGTGTCTTAGTGTCCCCAAATGTTTCAGTGTCTCCATGTCTCCCAGTGTCTGTGTTCCTAGTGTCTCAGTGTGCCTGGTGTCCCCATGTCTCCCAGTGTCCACATGTCTATGTCCACAACTGTACCCATGTCTCCCAGTGTCCCCAAGTGTCCGTCTCCCAGCCAGTGTCCCCTAGTCTCCCAGTGTCTGTGTTCCCATGTCTTTGTCCCTAGTGTCTTAGTGTCCCCAAATGTTTGTGTCCCCATGTCTCCCAGTGTCTGTGTCCCTAGTGTCTCAGTGTCCCCATTTCTCCCAGTTTCCCTAAATGTCTCAGTGTCCCCATGTCTCCCAGTGTCCCCATTTCTCTGTGTCCCCGGGTCTCTCTGTGATCCCATGTCTCTCAGTGTCCCCAGTATCCTAGTGACATGGGGACACAGTGGGACATTGGGACACTGGTAGAAATGGGGACACAGACACTGGGAGACTAGGGGACTGGGCGACATGGGGACACTGACACTGTGATACATAGGGACACTGAGACACTAGGTGACTTGCGAGACTGAGACACTGGGAGACAAGGAGACACTGGGAGCAATCCATCTATACAGCAGAATCAAACTGTGAGTAGTTTGTTGGTGATTTTACAGAATTTTCTCTGATATCACTCCTTGTGATTTACATCATGTGATGTCACGCATAACTAATTAATTATACAAATGATTAAGGCTGGTATTTTTTCCCAAGAAAGGTGGAAACCTTAACTACTCTTCACATACTCTTGCTTAAAGGAGCACTATAGGGTTAGGAACACAATCCTGTATTTCTGACCCTATTATGTTAAAACCACCACCCTGGCCCCTTCTTGCGTCCCTTAATATAGTAAAATATTACTTGTATTCAATTCTGCAGCTGCTGGCTCAGAAGTGGTGGTCTGAGAAATTACAATACTTCCCCATAGGATTGGCTGAGACTGTCAACTAGGCAGATCAGGGGCAGAGCCAGCACAAGTCCAACATAGCCCTGGCCAATCAGCATCTCCTCATAAAGATACATTGAATCAATGCATCTCTATGAGGAAAGTTCAGTGTCTGCATGCAGAGGGTGGAGACACTGAATGGCAGTGCTGCACACTATGCAGTACTTCCCCAGGAAGCTTCTCTAGCATCTAAGGAGTGGCCAGTGGAGTTATTTTCTCTGAAAAGACAGTGTTTACTGCAAAAAGCCTGAATGGAATGATTCTACTTACCAGAACAAATACAATAAGCTGTAGTTGTTCTGGTGACTATAGTGTCCCTTTAAGTTTGGAAGCTTAAGAGGGATGTATGGGAACAAAACTTGTGTGCACTGGCTGACATTAAAGTTAGTTTAGGTAATGCAGACGTTGGTCTCTCTAACACTGTGGCATATCCCCTTTCTTCTACACTCACTGCAGACACCTTTTCTCTGTCTCAGACTATACCAGGAACTTCTGCCTGCTAGTAAGAAGGCAAGGTGACAAGTGGACCAGCGAGTGCTAGGGGACAGTCCTTAGAAAGAATGGAGTGAGCGCATCATTAGACGCATTTATGTCAAGCTCAAGGTGCTTCATAGTATGCCCTTAGTTGGACAGCCTGCAGGATTGGCAGGCAGCACTTTTTGGGCATGTTCACCCCTTTTGGCAGGTCTTGTCACGTGATTCGCGTCAGTGGCACACCCTTTTACCCTGCCCATTGACTTCCTGCTTCACTGGACACTGCTGTTAGGGGTTATGGATTTACTTGAAAGATGAAAACATAAATTAGAGAGAAATTAGCATAGAGTATGTGTTTTCTTATAGCTGCATCCTATGAGTTTCCCTCCAGCACCATCTCCATCGATACATGACGCTTGGGAGGTATGATTGTTTTAGTGTTTTTGGTCAATAAGATTCCGTAATTAGGCCCATCATAACTGTCAGCACCAGGCCCACTGTGCTCTTAATCCGGCCCTGGCCCCGTCTACAAAACCCCCGCAAGCCCCTTCCACAAATCCCCTGCTTATCCCCCCTTATAAAGACTCATGTCCCAATACAAAACCCCCGCTCCCTTCTACAAAATCCCTGCAGCCCCACACACACATTTACAGGCAGTCAGTCACACACTCAGTTACAGACAGACAGTCACACACTCAGTTACAGGCAGACAGTCACACACAGTCACAGGCAGACAGTCACACATACACATTTCCTCCGTGCGGCCAGTTTATCAGCTGTTTGCTTGTGTGAGCTGTTCTGGCCGCACGGCACCCTAACTACCATGGGACACTGTGCGGCCACAGCTCACACAGCCCCCTCCAGCCAGGGCCGGTGCAAGGATTTTTGCCGCCCTAGGCAAAAGTAAAGTTTGCCCCCCCCCCCCATGTGACATCACAATGCCCCACCCATATGATTTGCCATGTTAACTAACGCCAGTGCTGCAGTTTACATTAAAAGGCCTGCAAGGACAGGCTATAGACACCAGACTAGGGCCGCGCTGGCCCATAAGGCGGCACTGGCGTCAGCCTTTAGGGCGACCGCTCTGGGGGCTGCTAGGGGGCCTCCAGTGACCCAGGAGGGTGTTCTCTGCCAGGTCACCCTCCTGGATCCTGGCACGGGTATAAAGTTGATTGATGGGATGAGAAGTAGGGAGTTTGATCTTCTGATAAATTCTCGCAGGCTGTTTACTGATGACGTCATATTCCGGCTCCTGCGGCATCAGTAAACAGCCTGCGAGGGAGCAGATCAGAGAGATCAGAGCTCCCTCACCACCTCGGAATCCAATTCAGCCGCATGCCTCCCAGCAGCCCCACTGGACCACCAATGAGAGACCCACGCCAGCTCTCCAGGTAGGGAGGCTGGGTGGGAAATGTTAATTTAATTTAGATTATTAATTACTGTGAGTGTGTGTGTGCATGTGAGTGTGTGTGTGAGTGAGTCTGTCAGTGTGTGTGTGTCTGAGTCTGTCAGTGTGTGTGTGTGTCTGAGTCTGTCAGTGTGTGTGTGTGTGTGAGTATGTGTGTCTGTCAGTGTGTGAGTGAGTCTGTCAGTGTGTGTGTGTGTATGTGAGTATGTGTGTCTGTCAGTGTGTGAGTGAGTGTGTCTGTCAGTGTGTGTGTGTGTGTGTATGTGAGTATGTGTGTCTGTCAGTGTGTGTATGAGTGAGTGTGTCTGTCAATGTGTGTGTGTGAGTGAGTGTGTCTGTCAGTGTGTGTGTGAGTATGTGTGTCTGTCAGTGTGTGTGAGTGAGTCTGTCAGTATGTGCATGTGAGTACGTGTGTCTGTCAGTGTCTGTGAGTTTGTTTGTGTGTGTCAGTGTGTGTTTTTCAATGAGTCTGTCAGTGTTTGTGTCTGTCAGTGTGCGTGTGAGTGTCTGTCAATGAATGAGTGTGTCAGATAAGTGAGTCTGGCTGTCAGAGATGTCTGTGTGTTTGTCATTGAGTGTGTGTGACTGTCAGTGTTTCTACACCCCTGACTGTAGCGTGGCCAAGCGGAGTGTACCGTGGTACAGGAACTTCTGTTTCCTGTACCTAGCAGCACTGACAGGAAAAGCTCACTGTACCGGGATTCGCTCCGCTCAGCCACGCTAAAAAAAAGGTAGTAGGCACACCAGGAAGGGGATGGGACCACTATGGGGGTGGGTGGCGCACCAAGGGACAGGGAGAGGAGGGGAGAGATACCCTAAGGTACAGGAAAAGGAGGGAGGGGGGGAGAGGAACACTAAGCGACAGGGAACAGATGGGGGAGGGAAGAGGAACACTATGGGACAGGGAAAGGAGGGTGGAAGGGAAAGGAACAGTAAGGGTCAGAGAAGGGAGGGGACCATTAAGGGACGGGGAGAGGGGCTGGATGTGAAAGAAACACACAGCGGGGCTTGAGAAGGAAAGAGACACACACAAAGGAGCTGGGAAGAATAAAAGACACAAATGGGCTGGGAGAAAAGGAGTCACACAAAGGGGCTGGGAGGAGTAAGACACAAAATGTTGGAGGATGTAAGAATCATACAAAGAGGAGAGATAGGAGACACAAAGACAAAAATAGGAGATAAAATACACTAAAGGGAGTCAGATATTTAAAAGACGGGATAAGAAACACAAAAGGGAGGTTAAGAGGCACACGGGTGAAGATGTTTTTGGGGGGGCGGAAAAATGCATCTTCGCCTATGTACCCAAAATTCTTTGCACCGGCCCTGACCAGAACCACTACATTAAGCTGAAGTGGTTCTGGGGACTATAGTGTTTCTTTAATGTGAGGTAAATTAGAGCTTAGTGCCACGAATAATATACTAGATTGCCTACTTACAACCAGATGAGGATGATGATGGGCTCTAGCTGCAGTCTGGCTCCACTGGTCTGGTGCAGAACAGGCTCTCTGGAGGCGGTTTGTAACTGTGGTCACAAAAATCAATGTTCTGGGAGAACGGGCAGCAGCTCCATTTTTTGGGGGTCCTTTACACAGCTCAAGGTCTGGGTCCCAGGGTCCACCTTCATGTTCCACCAATGAGTTTGTTCACAGGGGGTGGAGTGTGTAGGGGATGTCCTGATATGTGTGTAAGGAATGCATTGTGTGAAATTGTGTTTGTATGTGTAAGGGCTGCCAGGTGTCTTTCTCTGT